CTACCTGGCCCAGGTGCCAATGAATGTGCGCCGCCACAGCCGCGCCATGCAGCTGGCCGCCAGCAGACCAGGACTTCCCAAAGGAATCTCCTAGGTCCTCGGGGCGGGCAGAGGTAAGAGGTCACCAGTTCCTGACCAGAGGGTGGCTTCGCACTCAGCTCTAAGTAGAGATAAGGACCGCCAATTGGTGGAGACCAGGGAACCTTCCCCCCCCACCCCAAGCTTCTTTTTTAAGGTAATAAATAAATTCATGCATACATACCTCACTTAGCAATGGAAGACTGAGACTAAAGGAGGGTAGCAGTGGCCAGCAGTGGGCCCAGGCCCTTCTGGAAGGACCTACGGCAGGGCAGCCCTGGCAGTTGCTTCCTGAGTCCAGGAGCCTCGATCTCAGGCATGGCTTGGTTCCCAGTCAGACTCTTTTCCTGCCAGCCCACGTCCTAAACCAGTAAGCTGGCCCCAGCTCCTCCCTGGGTGCCTGTCCTCAGCTGTCCACACTGTGTAAAATGGCCAGCCAGCCAGTGGCGTGGCGATGTAGGCTGCTGCATCTCACATGACCAATGGCACAGTTCGAGTCCCAAACATGCAGCTTGAAAAACACACCAGGCACCTGTGTGTGCCCAAAACTGCAGGAGGAGAGTGGAGGAGAAGGGATTGAGGCATGGCCTCCTCCCTCAGGGTGCTTCCTCACTTTCCCTCTCTCCTTTTCCCTTTCCCTCTGTCTCTGGCAACCACATGGACCCTATAGCAAATTAAAAAAAAGGGCAAAAAATGGGTCATAGATGGCATAATGGTTATGTCACTGGACTCCCACATGGCTCACCACAGTTCAAGTCCTGGACCTGGTGGCTTGAAACTCACGGAGTTTTCATACAACCTAGCAATTTTACTTCCAGGCATATACTCAAGAGAACTGAAAACCTGTCCACCCAAAATGTATACACGCATGTTCATAGCAGCACTGCTACCTTAGCCAAAAGGTGGAAACAACCCGATGTCCTCTAAGGGACAGGTGGATAAACACAATGTGCTCTATTTATACCGTGGCAGTGCTATTTGACTGTAAACAGGAATGAACGCTGATATCTGTTACAGCACGGATGGACCTTGGGAACATTCAGGTAAGTGAAGGCAGTTAGTGACAAAAGACCAACACTGTAACCCCGTGGGTATGAGATGCCAGAGTAGACAGATCTGCACAGACAGCGCAGGGTAGTGGCTGCTCGAAGCTGGGGAACGGGAGTATAGCAGAGTCACAGTTAAAGGGTACCAGGTTTCTGTCTGTAGTGAGGGAAGATATTCTAAAAATGACTGTGGTTGGGGCCGGCAAGTGGCATGGTGGTTAAAGGCGCTGGACTCCCACATAGCCGACCATGGTTCAAGTCTTGGACCTGGTGGCTTACTTCCTCCCTTCCTCGCTCTCTCTCTCTGTCTCTCTCTGATCAAACTGGAAAATAATGATAATAATAATAAATAAAGCCAAGTAATAATTCTTTAAAAATAAAATAAATAAATAAAAGTGACTGTGGTGGTAGTTGCCTGAATGCAGGGCATTTCCAAAAGTTCATGGAGAATGCGTATTATTTTAAAAATGCATAGATTTCAAACCCTTTTGCACCAAAATACTTCTTGCTTTTGCTGTAGGGCATCTATACTTGCTGAAGAGAGAATGAGAAATCAACCCCAGAGGGGATGACTACACAATCCCTTCTCCTCCAGTCTCCTCTCAGGATTTTGGACATACCTTAACACATGCCTGGCATGTTTTTCAAGCCTCCGGGTCCAGGACTCAACCTGTGGAGTCAGGCATGTGGGATCCAGTGCGTTGGCAATACTCTCATACTTTAATTTCACTTTTTTCTTTTTATTTATGTATTTAATTTTACTTGTTATTATTATATTATTTTTATTTGACCAGAGAGAGACAGAGAGAGAGAGCGGGAAAGTGAGAAAGCAAACCGCCAGGTCCAGGACTCGATCTGTGCTCAGCCATGTGGGAGTCCAGCACCTTAACCATCACGCTGCCTGTGAGTTCCTAACTTCACGTTTATTTTCCTTTTTTTTTTTTTAAGAGATTTTTGCTATCGGGTGTGTACACTTGCCAAAGAGAGGCAGAATGCAAGAAATCATCCGTGGGAGGGATAGCCATGCTGCAATCCCCTCTCCTCCATTCTCCTCTGGGTATTCTGGGCATATGCACACATGCACCCGGCATGAGTTTTAAGCCAGTGGGTCTGGGACTCAAACCGTGGTCAACTATGTGGGAGTCCAGTGACATAACCTTTATACCATCTGCTGGTCCCCCCCAATTCCACTTTTCCACAAATTTTTTGAAGTTCTCTTATAGCTGTGAATATATTAAAACTATTGAATTATACACTTTAAGCAGGTGTATTGTATAATATGTTCATCTCAATGAAGCTGTTTGGAAAAAGTTAGGAATATGGGGACCAGCAGTTAGCATAATGGCTATGTCACTGGACCCCCTGTGGTCGACCGCAGTTGGAGTCCCAGACCCGGTGGTTTAAAACTCACTCCTGGTGCGTGTGCGTGCATGCCCAAGATCTCGAGAGGAGAATGGAGGAGAAGGGATTGTAGTGTGGCCATCCCCCCGGGGGGTGATTTCTCGCTTTCGGTCTCTCTCTCTCTCTCTGTCTGGCAAACGCACGCTCCCTACAGCAAAAACTCTCCAAAAAAAAAAAAAAGAGAGAGAGAGAGAGAAAGAAAGAAAAAAGAAAAAAGTTAGAAATATGAACAGTTTTGGGGCCAGCAGGTGGCATAGTGGTTAAGGTACTGGGTTCCTACATGACCAACCATGGTTCAAGTCCCAAACCCAGTGGCTTGAATATTAGGCTGGGTACGTGTACATGCATGCCCAAAACTCCAGGAGAAGAATGGAGGAGAAGGGATTACAGCATGGCCATTTCCCCTAGGGGATGATTTCTCACTTTCCCACTCAGTCTCTCTCCTTCTGACAAGCACACATGTCCTATGGCAAAAAAATAAAAAACAGTTTCAAATTTCATCTGCTGGCCTGCTCCTCTGGACACACTTCAGTAAAGCAGTTTTGGGCATGGCCAAACAAAACAACAACAACAAAAAAACATAAGTAGCTCTTTATCTGGCTGTAATGCAATTAAACTTGAAACGATGTCTCCCTACTAGGCCCCACTCTGCGGGGGTAGAGCTAGGCAAAGCAACTTCTCCCTACTTGAAAAAAAATTTTTTTTTTGCCATATGGTGCATCCACTCCCCAAAGAAAGAGAAAAGGAAAATGAGAAATCACCCCTCAGGGGGATGCCCACTCATTCCCTTTTCCTTCAGTCTCCTCTCAAGGTTTTGGGTACACATGCATGCACCCAGCATGATTTTCAAGCCACCAGGTCTGGGGCTTGAACTGCAGTCAGCTATGTGGAAGTCTAGTTACCTTAACTACCATGCCACCTGCGGGCCCCTCTCTGTACATTCTTTACCCACCTCAGTTTTGACCTCTCCCAGGTCTGACTCTAGATCTTCCCCTTACCATTATGTGACCTCAGGCAAATGACTTGACCTCTCTGATACTAGTTTCTCATCTGTAAATGGAGCTAGTGTTGCCTCCCTGAGAGGCTGTTATAAAAAGAACTACATGGGCCTGCAGGTGGCGTGGTGGTTAAGGCACTGGACTCCCACATGGTTGACCACGATTCGAGTCCCGGACCTGCTGACTTGCTTTCTCTCTCTCCCTCTCTCTAGTCAAATTAAAAATAATAATAATAATAATAATAATGAAATTAAATAATTCTTAACAAACAAACAAAACAGGAACTACGTGATACTGTAACATTCCAGCCCAGTGCCTCACACTGGGTTAAGTACAGAGTAAATGTTTGCTATGATCAGTCGTCCATTAATTCATCAGGCATGTCAGACTCTCTAGTGTGCAATGGGACAGAAAAATATAAACCTCAGGCTCTCACGGTCTGGTTGGGAGGCAGACACAACCATAAATCTGACCTCCCACACACTGAGATAACACCCTGATAACTCCATCGTAGGTTGAAAATATAAGCTGAAATGTACTTCATTTACCCTACCTGCATTACGGCCTAGCCCAGCCTACCTGGAATGTCTCAGAAATACTTACCAGGCTACAGTTAGGCAAAACCATCTAACACAGGGGCCGGCAGGTGGCATGGTGGTTAAGGGCGCTGGACTCTCAAATGGCTGACTGCGGTTCAAGTCCCGGGCCTGCTGACTTGCTTTCTCACTTGCCCTCTCTGTCTCTTTCTGGTCAAATTGAAATAAATAAATAAAGGTGAATAAAGTAATTCTCAAAAAAAAAAGAAAAAAAGGTAAAAAAAGAAATCCTAAAAAAAAAAAAAAAAAAAAAAAAACCCTGTCTATTAAAAAAAAATAATCTAACACAAAGCCTGTTTTATAATGAAATGTTGAATAGCTAATGTGATTTATTGAATACTAAACTGAAAGTGAAAAACAGAATGCAATCCTTATTATTATTATTGCTAGAGGTATGTGCACTTGCCACAGAGAGACAGAGAAAGAGAGAATGCACCCCCCACTGGGGCATGATCACGCTGAAATCCCTTCTCCTCCATTTCTCCATCCTGTTGGCATTTTAGGCATGCACACACACATGCATGGTGTGTGAGTGTGTTTAAGAATTATTTTATTTAATTTTATTTATTTATTTATTTATTTATTTAAATTTGACCAAAGAGGGACAGAGCAAGAGAGGGAGAGAGAGAAGGAAAGTGAGAAAGCAAGCTGCCAGGTTCAGGACTCAAACCACGGTCAGCCATGTGGGAGTCCAGTGTCCTTAACTACCAGGCCACTGGCCGGCC